AAGTCAAAGCTGTTGTTTCCTTTATGTGAACCTTACAACCTCTTCTTTCATTTAAAATCATAAGCAGTGCAAGAATGATGTCAAATATGTAAGCTCGTTGATACACCACTGCTTCACATACTTGTATCAAATAGTTTGTTCCTTGAATCTGCAACATCAGCCCTATCAGAAGACTGAAGGGACTTCCCATGCAGGCTTCCTCTAAATGCTCTGCTCCACATTGTTCCAGAGCCAGGGTGATATCCGACTGCACCACTGTTTCCTGACACTGGACCTGGCCATCTTTCACCAGGGAATGTCTGAATAGGCTAGGGTCACAGCGAGGGGGCACCTCTTTCTGGGCTGTGCTTACGTTCGTTCGTTCGTTCGTTCGTGTGTTGAGTGAAAGCTTGCGTACGTGTTCACCAACTCCAGGAGTTTTGCCCAGTTTTCATTTGGGACTCTTCTGATCCAGTTTAACCCTTTTACCTCCCCCCCATCCCCCATCCGATCCGAGAGCCCCACAGTTAACCCCTCTCCCCCGTCTTCTCCCCCTCCCCCAGGGGCTCACTGAGAAGCAGGTGACTGATGTAGACTGTCGATATGGCCTACAGATAACATGAATAAAGGACTCAACTCCCCCCTATTCCCTCCTCACTATCCAAATACCCACCCCTTCCCTCCCTCACTCAGTCTACCCCTCCCTAGCCCGTATGCAAATATAAACACCACTCCCCCCCCCCCCCACCCCCCCCCCCCCCTCATGCTCATTCATTGGAAGGGAAGCTTTGCAGCAGCTTGAACAAGCAGCAGCAGAAGCAGCAGCAGCGTGGGCTTTGTTGTGGACTACTGCCGGGAGAAACAAGAGGGAGACACACATAGAGAGAGCAGCTGATAGAAAGACAGAAAACAGCCATGGAGTGCAGATGAGGAGAATATAGAGTAAGTTAGGAAGAGGAAAAACAGTCAGAAAGAAGAAACACATCAACACAAGAGAAAGAGTTGCTATAAGAGAACCAGGAAGCAACCAGACTGAGTGACTACTAGTATTGTTACGGACATTACTACAACTATCATTACCACTGCCTCGACTACTACTACTACTACTGCGAGAGCCACAACTAAAGCTGGGAAACTCCTGGTGAGTTTTTGTTGTTTTCTTCAAGTTAAACTTCACACTTTTTATTTCCAGTATTTTGCCTCCATTGTGTTTTAAAGGTTGTTTTAGTTATACAATGCAGTTCATTGAAGTCAAGTGGAGTTATATTTCTGTAGCAATGACATGTTTCATTAGACTTATGGGGATTCTTCTTCCCTAAAATGTTACAAATCAACATGTGTAAAAACTGCACTAATTCAGTCAATGATTTGTTCGGTTCAGGAAGTAGTAGTGGTGGTCTTAGAAATGATTGTGTTTAGATTTGATAATTCTCTCCCCAAATGCCTTTAAGGATTATTAACTAAAAAAACTGCGTTCACATTTTAACTCATTGGGCTGGCAAAACATACAAAGGGAAGTGAAAGGTAAATCTGCTGTTCACATGAAAGTTGCATGTCTTCTCACATGTGTAGCAGCCGCCTACTCGGGTGTTAATGATTAAAACTGCAGCTTGACACTGTTTTCTTTGTTCAACGTTCAAGACTTTTTGAATGAATTGCATTCAGTCAAATTCATTTCGAGAGCCTAGTGGCTATTGCTTGTCAGAGAGAATCAAACTTTGTAGATTTAACAGTTTTTTGTCAGTAATTATTTTTGGTGCTCCATCCATGTGTTTTTAATCTGTGTGTGTGTGTGTGAGAAACATCAGGAATTAGTTTGCCAAATAATGAGGGAAGGATTAGTGGTCTTCAGATATTTTCATTGCTGTTTTTATTCCCTTGTTTTGATCATTATATGAACTTATTTGACTATTCAACGGTGAACATCCACTTAAGTTGCATTCAAAACACTGGTGGTTCATATAGAATTTGTGTTGTGTTTACACATTGTGCCTGAAGCTATTTAAGTAACTTCCTCCTCTCTTCAGTCTGCACAGTCACACACACACACACACACACACACACACACACACACACACACACACACACACACACACACACACACCTGATTCGCAGTTCACGAGTTTTATACTGCTTCAGATTTACTCAACAGCATGTGTGTATGTGTTTGGGTGCTCAGCATTTGAGGGTAGAGGGTGTGTGGTTGTAATTAGATGAGGCTCTGTGTGGAGCCCCTCCCCCCACCCCCTAGACAGCAGACACACTTCCCAGCGACCCTGTTCTCATGCGTGCGTGTGCACTCACACACTGTCACATACACACATTTCCTCAGGCTGTAGCTCAGACGGGTCGACGGGTCAGTTGGAATTATATAGTCATGATCAGAACCACATGCTAGGGATGCCGTGGTAAACATTTTGAAGCTTTTTGGATGGTCCAATCAATTCACTTTTTTGGAGTTTATCTAAATGGGGCATATTTTAAGTGTTTTCCTAGATGATTGTTAGGTTTTTTAACCAGTATACAACAATTCACATTTTACTCACATCATTTTACAACACAGCTGTTGAGTTTTAGAAATGTATGCATCTTTACTACCACACCAGGCAGACATTGTTTACTATTACATTCTAAAACAGTACAGAAATGATAATTTAATGCTAATGCAGTGTTTACAAAAAAATACATATCTATTTAAATCTATAACTGTTAAGCATGTAGTGCTGATCCCATGTATTGCCTTTCTGATGAGTAAAATGAATTGTGTTCATGTATTTTGTGGAGACATTTTATAGAATGCTGCATGTATGAAGACATTTATAATATTTCTAATTTCTAAACATTTATAATATAATATTTCATCAAATAGTGCAGCCATAAAGCACACACAGTCCTAAGTTTGAGTATTACTCTTAGTATACATTTGATATGTTTTTACATCATGTATGAGAGTTTTTCAGCTACAAGTATGGTTTTATTGTCTCGTGCTTTTACATTTGTAAGTCTAAATGTATTTATGCTGCTTTTTATATATTTATTGATGCACAGCACCTTGGTCAACTCTGTTGTTTATAATGTGCTATATAAATAAAGTTGGATTGGATATTGCTTTGATGAAGAGCTTGAACAAGTGGATACAGAATATTCATGATGCTGTCAGACGGACGTAAAACATTTGAAAGTTGTAGTAAAAAATGCAAAGATGATTAGTTTGTTTTACTTTTTATAAAATGTTAAGCTCAAAACCATCATAATGTGACATTAATCACCAGTGTGGAAGTTGAACATGTTGCTTCAGTGGCTGTCACATTACGTGAATGGATTAGACTTTCTTTTTTTCAACAAGGAAAGATCAGAGTGGGCCCCCAACTCAGATTTCCCTTGGAGAATTAAAACCCGCTGATACTGATTGGTACCCTGCAAATCATTTTTGATCTGCCTTTGTAGGGCTTAATCCTGCTAGCTCGGTGAATACGCGTGCCACTGTGCGTGCAGGTTGGTATTTCTGTTCCTTTGCTCTCTGAGCACGCTTTGTGTGACCGCTCCTGGTGAGCGAGTGAGACCTCACCCTCTGAAACAAAACACTGCTCTATAGACGGCCACTTTCACTCATTTCCCAATCAAGCAGCTTTCAGGGTGCCCCGGCTGGCCCCTTAGAGAATACTGTAAACCTTCCATAGTGTCTCCATATTGCCTCAGTCAAGAAGCTCTAATGAAAGCCCGGGCCCCATGAGAGCCTCCACATGCACTCTCAGGACGCTGCTCTCACCAAACAGTTCACTTGTATTGAAAGAGGAGAGGCTTATCTTTCTCTTTTCCTCAATTTCCTTCTTTCACACAACCTCTTTGATAATGATGTGATCATATCACAGAGTCATGCAGGGCTAATGAGGACAGACGTGGGTGGTGTAGCCACTGCTTTTTTTTCCTTTCTCACAATACCTATTTCCTTTTTTCTCACTTTATTGCCACTGTCCTTCTATTTTAACACCTACGCTGATGGAGATTTTGCAATTATATTATTTTTTTGTGGAGAGACTTTTAAGCCTCCAAAAAGAGAGGTTGCTAGGTTGTTTTCTGAGGTATTCTTCATATATTTTTATTGTATAATGTGCCATTGTCGGACAAGGGATGGCACACGCCATAGCTACATTTGAACCTCGTCCTAGAATGCTGGATTTTAAAACCAATGTCTTGCTGATATACCTGCTAGGCTGATATTGTCAGCCAATTGTAGCTTTTCACAGATACAGCGACTAAAGTACTCATCCACCTTTGGAAGTTCTCAAAATGTGACAACCTACATGCAGAAAATGGTTGCCTGTCTATGCAAGTGAGCAAACGAGTATAACAAAGTGGCATTACAGTCCAAAAGGCAGGTTTTGAAATGGCGTTTCCAAAGGATTCTTATCTGATGCACATAATGGTTTGATCAGATTTTAAACTCCCAATTGACCAGCCCCAAGAATCCAATATCTTCTGCTGTATGTGGGAAAAGGGTTAACATCTTATCACCATAATAACTATTTGTGTTGTGTTGCTGGAAGCAGAAGTTTTGCAGAAGTTTTAAGGAAAAGTCTAGCAGGCAGATCTCTGGGGGTTTGTGACTTTTGACTCTGATTTCAGCGTAAGGAGGAGCCAAATACAAAGGACCTGCCAATCTCAGAGGACTCAGGAAAATCAAAACAAATCTCCTCTGCAGAACCACACAGTTCCCCCTTTGTCTTTCTTCAGACATTTCTTTTTCCTTTTTTAAAAATCTGTCTTAACACTGAACACAGTCTTAAGGGTGTAAATGTGACATTGCTAATAATTTAGCAAAGATTATTCTCAACACATGCCTTTGTTTGAAGCCCATATTATTGTTTTTGAGCTGCAGATTTAAAATGTATTCAATTAGCAAAAGTCCAAATGAACCTGTATTAATCTTTTATGATGATCTTTAGCATCTTTCATGCATATTACAAAAATAATAACAAATATTTTCTCTCTCTCTATCTCCATAATCCCATGTTTTACAGTTACGCTCCCTGGGGCACTGCTTGCTCCGGTTTCTTCCACATCATCCTCCCTCACTACACGTCGCTCCTCTTCCAACTGTTCCTCTTCCTACATGCAGACCTCATACCGACTTCCAAACCCCTTGCCCCCCCTCCCTGTGCGCAAGGGGGTCCGTGGTCGTCGTCCCAAATCCCTGACCATTGCTTTGTTGAAGGCAGCGGCTGAGGCTGCAGCGGCAGCAGCAGTAAATGGAGCATCAGCGAGTCCTGTCAGGACGAGCTCTGAGGCTCCTCTGGCCCCCAGACCACACAAAAAGCGAGGGCCCAAGCCTCGGAACAAGGTGAGATGTCACCGCGCTGTAATCTGTTATGCTGCGGTCCAGTGACCCTGTCATCTTATGTTTAAGTATTATGGCAGATTTGATGTAGAGGAAAAAGGGTCAGAGGTGCATTGTTTAACATTTTATTCATGATAAATGAGGAGATTTGCGCTAGAAGCTGAAAAATGTGCTGCAGTGCAGTTTGTGTGTACTAGTCAAAGTTTTAAATACACCTTTAATAAATCATTACTAAACTTTGTGGGTTACAGAAAGTTAATGAAAAATAGTTTGTTTGTGTTTTGGTTCAGAGGAAGCCAGGGGTGTTGAAATCTCTGGGGACACCGGCAGTTACAGCCCCCCCTCCAGAGACCAGACTAACCCCCGGACACGCCTCAGCAGACAACAACCATAGCAACAGCTCAAATGTAGTTTGCACAGGTAAGATAACAGACTGAGCCTCATGTATGTTCACTATCAACCACTCTTTCTAGCTGGATTTAAAAGTCAACAGTCAGAATTCAACAATGTTTGGATTGGTACAATTTTCCCTCTCTTTGTTTATTCCAGTGTGTGTCTATGTGAACAAGCACGGGAACTACGGCCCGCATCTTGACAGAAAGCTAGTGCAGCAGCTGCCCGACCACTTTGGGCCGGCTCCAGTCAACGCAGTGCTGCAGCAGGCTGTTCAGGCCTGTGTGGACTGCACGTACCAGCCCTCTGTGATGCTGTCCTTCCTGCAGAGCCAGTCCCACACAGGAGGAGAGGTCATCAGAGGTAAATACAGTAAACACCACAGGATTACCCCTCTGAGAGAAGTTGTAGGTTAACAATGTGACACAGATATATTCTGTCCGACTGAAAGTGTAAAACTCTTATGTGGTCAATGTGAAATTAGATGAAAATATCAAATCTCATGTTTGAGAAGCAAATTATCAATTGTTGGGCTTTTTGCTTAAACAAAATATGATTTCCACTTTTAGCAACTTATTTGTAATGTTTTAGTAATTCACTATTTCAACATGTTTCCGTTGAAAGTAAGAGCACATACATGCACACTGTTAAAATCATATTTGGGACATTTGACTGAGCTTTAACTTAGCATTAACATGTGGGAAACATGCTTGAGCCTGGCTCTCTGCAAAGGTAATCAAATCTGCCTAGCAGCACCTCTAAAGATCATAAATTCCACATGTTGTCTATTTAATTTATACAAAGTGTAGAAGTGATTGTTTCACCTACAGTAACACAGCAGGCTATTTGTTGGACTATTTCTTAGTTGTAAGCAGTAACTTCCTGTACTCTCTATTGGTTGAACGCCAACTGGTCCCGGCCAAGAAAAATTCCAAATAGTACACACACTTCAGTTTTTGTACAAATTAAACAAATCAATAATACCTAAAATAACCTGCCAGATTTGGAGGTGCTGGTAGACAGATTTTGTTATCTTGCAAAGAAGGAAGTGTTGAAATATTCCTTGGAAAAAATCACTTCTTGAAAATCAGTGCTGGAAACATTATAATATATTCCTAACACCTAATGCCATAAAGCATGGATTTGCAATCAGACAGGTGCAATTGGTTTAAGCACTCACACATGGGTCATGCATGTTGCATGTGTGTGTCAGTTTGTATGTGTGCGGGGAAAGAGTGGCAGAATAAAAGACAGGGCCTGTGGCAGCAGCTGATGTGAGCCCTGTGTCTGTAATCAGAAATGACATGTGCGGCTAACCTGGTTTTGGATGCTGGGATTGGGTCTCCCTTGGGGGGCTGGATTCGGAGAGGTAGGGTGAAGAGGAGGCGGGGCAGGGGGATTAATTTGTGGAAGCTTGGCTTGGGTGGGTGTTGGTGGAAGGAGGGGTGTTTGGTGCAGTGTTGGATGGGCTAAAAAAGGTGGGTTTTTGCTTCTAAAGGGAGGGTGGTTACCCTAAACCATCTGCTGTTTTTCTTAAGATGTGAATGCATACAGTGTGTATGTGCGTGTGTGTGTCTTTGTGTGATGCTAACAGCTCTTTGTGTTGTACCCCTCAGTGCGGTCAGAGCATGGTATCCGCTATGTGAAGCTGCCCTCGGCCTCCAGTACGTCGTCTGTGCTGCGGTTCTTGGAGAACATGTGCCAACATCTGGAGAGTGACAGTTTGTTCAGCTCCCAGCCGTTCAGCTCCTTCGGCAACAACACACGCTTTTACAACAGGACCAAGTCAGGTGGGCAGAAGTGTGGACGGAGTAACTGTAAACAGGGGCTTGTGCAGTAACAGGGTGAACGTTTGAGTCAGCTGTAGGCTCACTTACTTACTGTGAGCCATAATATCTTGAAACAAATGATATATATATATGATATTTTCTAGAACAAAATAATTTTTTGTTACTGATTATACGATTATGATTTATTTTCAACCTTTGCATTTTTACGGCAGAACTGGTCCCACCTAATTTACACTAGTTGTTTTTATAATGTACATTGCAAAGTGATGTTCTTTCAACAGTCCATCTGAAAAGTGGAAAGGTTAAACATCATTTGTATAATCACTAAATAAAGCTAAAGTTAATTGTCTTTTGTCAATGACAGAATTTGGTAGATAATAAGACCATGTTCCCAGGGGGTGAATGGTTGATTTCTGTTAAGATCTAGATCCATTTTGAAATTATATATTTTGTAGCAATTCCCTTTGTTTTAAGGGAGGATTTTTCAATATGAAAAATGAATGAACTGGTGTGTTTTGATCTTAAGGTTTAGAGCACTGTGAGATCTTATCAGAGGCATGTTCTCTAAGCTCTTTCTCCATAAGTTAGTCACTTTATGGCTGCGTTGTTCATGGTACAGTTCTTTGCAGCATCTTTTTGTTTGTACACAACATTAACAGTTTCTCTCTTTCCTTTGCTTGCACCAGAACCACTATCCCACCCTGAAAATGGCCTGTCTAAAGAAGACTCAACAAAGGATGCTGCTCCCAGCACCCACCCCTCTCACACAACCTCGGACTACAGAGTAACAAAGAAGGAGCGGCCATATTACCCCGGACACTCGCACACGCCGCCACCCCTCAGACGCGTCAGTTCAAACCCCACTGAGCTTGGCCAGATGTGTCCACCCAGACGAGTTGAGGGTAGGGTTACTAAATGTAATAATGACATTTAAATACAATTATTTATTTATATTATGATCACATTTCTTTAAATGATGCCCTTAAAAATTATTTACATTCAAGAAGAGGACGGTAGTTGCTCGGTTGTTGAGGTTTAGGCACAAACATAATTTCCTATAAACCTTTTTAATTGAACCCATTTCAATTACAATCATAAGGAGAAGGTATAATTGATTTGTTTTTTTTGCCAGCCGCTAGCTCGACGACAGGCCCAGACCACGTGAAGCAGGACAAGGAGGGTTCAGGGAGCGACACCTCTTCCTGGTCAGTTGACGATGTCATGCGGTTTGTCCAAGAGGCTGACCCCCAAACTCTCGGCCCGCATGTCGAACTGTTCAGAAAACATGTGAGTATGTCATGTATATGAGCAGTCTTCTTTGTCAAATTGGTGTTTCACCATTTAACTTAAAGGTCACCTATTTATACTTTTTCATGTGTCTCCTATGTGTAAAGACATTTGGAAAGTTTCAAGAAAAAATAGATTCTCTCTCTTTTTGTCCTGATCCATCTTTATAAAAACCGGTCTGAAAATCAACTGATCAGATGTTGGCCACATTGTGATGTCACTATGTTTTTTTGGGTATTGCAACCATGAGCCAATAACCAACCAAGGTAACACCCGCCCATTTTATCAGCTGAATCTCGTCCTAGAGCACCATTGTTTTGTTTTAAACCAAACCAAGCTGCCAGCAGCAGCTCATTTACATTTCAAGCTACAGACACAAAATCAGCACTTTTGAAACATGGCTGAAACAGAGGGGTTTATGGGATGCTACAATGCACAATCTGTTTGGTATTTCAAGCCAAACACTTCAGAGACATGTTTTGTTTATATTTGAGACCTATAATATACTGTTGAAAAAGAGTATAATAGGGGACCTTTAAAATTATTCTGAAAGTATGTGTTGGTAACGTGTCCCCCTGAATGATCCCCTCTCTGCAGGAGATCGACGGCAGAGCTCTGATGCTGCTGCGCAGTGATGTCATTATGAAGTACATGGGACTGAAGCTGGGCCCGGCGCTCAAACTCTGTCATCACATTGAGAAGCTGAAACAGAGCAAACAATAGAGGATGAAGGAAAGCTTTTTACCTACTGGCAACCAAACCCACACAAAACACTTATTGCTCTACACAGGGATGTCGTGTAAACCCGCCTGACCCAGGGTCGTAGCTACCATTGAGGACACTGTGGTAAAGTCCACTGTTTTTTTTTCTGTATTTGGAGAATGAAGGAAGTTTGAAAATACAAACTTACAAAATGATGGCCATTTATTGAACTGATTTGATAATTTTTTCACTTTTACAAAATGTGACTACTTTTGGCCAAATACTTCCGTAATCTTAAAGGTCCCATGTCATGCTTTTCCGGTTATTATCCGTCCCCTTGTGTGTTATGAAGGTTTTTATGCATGTAAACGGTCTGCAGAGTCAAACACCCTCAAAGTACACCCTGTAGCGAGTAAAACTCTAACACAGAAAATACCTCCCCAAATCGCCTCGTTGGAGATTTCTCATTTTCCAATGTTTTCTTCCTGGGTATCATGACGTAGGGATACCCAGTAGCTACGCCCAGAGCTATGGCCGCACCCTCTGCCAGCCTTTCACGAATCAAAGCTTCCTTAACCTTTCAGCGATTCATGCCGAATATGTACAGCGTAGGGCACTGAAGAACGATGCTGTTCCTACTTTGTTTGGACCAGCGGGAGATTCGGGTACACAGCCTGTAAGTATTCATTGTTGTTTGTGTATTTATGCTGTTTAAAACAAACAAGGTATCTACCACGACTGTTTAAATGGGTAAACGTTTTTCGGGCTACTACGTTGGGATCGCGGAGAAATGCTCTCCGCAGACCCATGCTCACAGCGTTATAAACCTTTTTCTTACTCAATATCAAGCCACACTTATTGTTTTTACTTCGGCTGTGAGTGTTTGTGTGTGCTCAGGATGAGTTTCGCTTGTTCTCCTGTATCGCCGACACGGAAGCCTGTCTGCTCCGTTGCAGCAACGAGCCTCTCAGCTTCGCGACCAATCAGAGCACACTGGGCTCGCAGGGAGGGGGGGCAGGAGCTACAACAAGCCGTTTAAGACAGAGAGTGAATACCGGTGAATACACATACTTTACAGAGATGCTGTATGAGAAACCAATGTGAGTTTGGAAAATTGCACAGTATAGATCTATTTTAGTATACCTCAACAATGGAATTATGATCAGTAGAAATGGCCATGACATGGGACCTTTAAGTCCTGGATAACAGAGTGTGCACCACTTACATTCTGTCTTATTTTGGAGGAAGACCTTGAAGATCAGTTCCTGAAGAGTTATTTCTCTTTGTTTATGTGTGTTTTGTGTGCTGGAAGACACTGAAGTTGAACATTACAACATGAGGACTGATGAGGCTACATGATTGTTTTATTCTTTAACAGTCTAGCAATTAAACACGCAGGCACAAGATATAGGCCTTCAAAGACTGAAATACTGTACGTGTTGACATTTAATTAAAGTCAAGGCCTCTAACTGTTTAGTTGCAAAGTGCTCCTCAGAGAGTGGGAGGAAACTGTTTTGTATAAAGTCAAGCCAAAATGTTTTTGATATAATTTTCTATTGTAACAAAGGGTAAAAGCGTAAATGTAATCACATTTTTTCCTGCCTGAAATAGTTTTTGTGCACACCATCAAATAACTACCAACAGGATGATCCTGTGTGGGGGTAATAATTCATATGTTTCAAAGTATGTATCTGTTTTCCATGGCAGAGATACTAATTTTCTGAACATTTCAGAACCATTTTAAAACCAAATCATGTGTGTTGTAGCTGCATTTCACACTGTTGCTCTCCTGTAGTGTTGACAAATGGAAACTTTACTTGAAACTTGCTTTAATTTCAAACTCAGGTTTTAGAAGGGGTTGTTTCATAGAATATGTTTTACATAGTTAACATTTTGCGTTTATTACGACATAGACGGACTGCACAATAACCAACTATGTATATTTGTATGCCTTGTCATCTATTACCGCCCTACAGCCTTTCATGTGTACATGTAAACGTGTTTTTACTGTAATTTTGAGAAAATGTTTTTGACAAATATGTTTGAAATGCAATCATACCAATAAACATTTGTTTATGTCATCTAAATGTTTGCTGCTTAAATAGCCTCATCAAGAGTTTTTCTCATGCTATATACAGTACTTTTGACCGTTTAAAACAAAGGAATGTCCACTTTTGAGTATGTCTGAGTAATAACAAAACTAACCAAAGAGGTTTTTATTTCTTGTCAAGTTCAGAAAAGGACAGATTATCCAATAATTCATAAGAAAAAAGCAAGCCCACGTTCATACGGGTTACAAATAATTGTATGTAGCAAGCTTTTTCTATTTGCTTCTTTCATCAGTGAAGCACACAGTTCCAACAAGAAGAAAATATAGACAAAAGGGGATCACATTTATGCTAAAGAAAAAAACATTCCACGCTACTGGAAGAAGTTCATGTCCTTTTAGTTTTGATTTGTGTGTGTCTTTCATTACATTACATTACATTGCATTTAGCTGACGCTTTTATCCAAAGCTACTTACAATAAGTGCGTTCGACCAACAAAACACAAACTTGAGGAAAACAGAATCATATAAGTACATCAGGCTTCATAGAGCAAAAACATTTCAAGTGCTACTCAACTGGCTTTAGATAAGCCAGCCCTTTATTAGTATATAAGTGCTTTGTTAATAGTTCTATCGCTCGAAGTGGAGTCGAAAGAGATGAGTTTTCAGTCTGCGCCGGAAGGTGTGTAAGCTATCTGCTGTCCTGATGTCAATGGGGAGCTCATTCCACAATTTTGGAGCCAGGATAGCAAACCCACGTGTTTTTGCTGATGGGAACTTGGGTCCCCTTCGCAGCGAGAGTGCAGCGAGCCGTTTGGTTGATGCAGAGCGGAGTGCACGTGCTGGGGTGTACGGTTTAACCATGTCCTGGATGTAGGAAGGGCCAGATCCATTCGCAGCATGGTAGGCAAGTACCATTGTCTTGAAGTGGATTCTAGCAGTTATCGGAAGCCAGTGAAGGGAGCGGAGGAGCGGCGTGGTGTGGGAGAATTTAGGAAGGTTGAAGACCAGGCGAGCAGCTGCATTCTGGATGAGCTGCAGAGGTCGGATGGCACATGCAGGTAGACCAGCCAGGAGGGAGTTGCAGTATTCTAGGCGTGAGATGACGAGAGCCTGGACCAGAACCTGCGTCGCTTTCTGGGTCAGCTGGGGACGCATCCTCCTGATGTTGTAAAGCGTGTATCTGCAGCAGCGGGTTGTAGCAGCGATGTTTGCAGTGAAGGACAGGTTGTTATCTAGGGTCACACCCAGATTCCTTGCAGTCTGAGTCGGGAAAACAACAGAGGTGCCAATGTTGATTGTTAGGTCAAGAGTGGGACAATCTTTTCCCGGAAGGAAAAGCAGTTCAGTCTTGTGTTGAGCTTGAGGTGATGATCAGACATCCACTGAGAGATGTCAGCTAGACAAGCAGAGATGCGTGCGACGACCTGGGTCTCTGAGCGGGGAAAGGACAGAATTAATTGGGTGTCGTCAGCGTAGCAGTGGTATGAAAAACCATGCGGGCTAATGACTGATCCGAGCGAGTTTGTGTACAAGGAGAAGAGGAGGGGACCAAGAACAGAGCCCTGAGGGACCCCTGTAGTTAATTGACAAGGGTCGGACTCGGACCCTTTCCAAGTAACCCTGTAGGTGCGGTCTTTGAGGTATGAGGTGAGGAGGGAAAGTGCAGAGCCTGAAACTCCAAGTTCTTGGAGAGTGCGAAGGAGGATCTGATGATTCACCGTGTCGAATGCAGCAGACAGGTCCAAAAGGATGATGACAGAGGAGAGGGAGGCTGCTTTAGCAGTGTGCAGTTCCTCAGAGACAGCAAGGAGGGCAGTTTCTGTGGAGTGACCTGCCTTGAAACCAGACTGGTGCGGATCCAGAAGGTTGTTCTGATGGAGATAGCAGGAGAGTTGTTTAAAGACAGCGCGTTCAAGTGTTTTAGACAGGAACGGGAGGAGAGAGACAGGCCTGTAGTTTATAACATCAGACGGGTTGAGAGTGGGTTTCTTTAGGAGAGGGTTTACTCTTGCCTCCTTGAGACTGTTTGGAAAGTGACCAGAAGTTAGAGAAGTGTTGATGAAATGGGTGAGAAACGGTAGAATATCAGGAGCGATAGTCTGAAGGAGGTTTGAAGGGATAGGGTCCAGAGGACAGGTGGTAGGGCGGGCAGAGATAATGAGGGTAAGAACCTCACTTGGAGAGAGGGGAAAAGGAGGTCAGTGTGTGGGTGAAAGGAGGGTCTGGTGACCCAGCGGTGAGTAGAGGTGAGTCAGAAAAAGAAGAGCGAATATCATCAACCTTTTTTTCAAAGTGGTTAACAAAGTCGCTTGACAGAAGGGAGGAGGGGGAAGGGGCTTTGGGGGGGTCCAGGAGGGAGGAGAAGATGGAAAATAGTTTTTTGGGATTGGAAAAGGAAGATTGGATCTTATCTTGAAAGAAAGTGCTTTTTGCCTGAGAGATCGAAGCAGAGAAAGAGGAGAGCCTGATAGGTTAGGAGGTCGTCACGGTGTTTGGATTTCCACCATTTCCGCTCTGCTGCCCGAAGGACGGTTCTATTAGCACGCAGTGCATCATTTAGCCAGGGAGCAGGAGGGGACTGACGAGCCTGCCGAGATGTGAGAGGACGGAGAGAGTCCAGAGAGGATGAGAGAGTAGAGAGGAGAGTTTCTGCAGCAGAGTTTGGAGGTAGTAGTTGGAACGAGTCCGAGGAAGGGAGGGCTGAGAGCACCGATGAGGCAAAGGTAGAGGGGGAGAGGGAACGAAGGTTACGGCGGACAGGTGCAGGATGAGAAGAGATTAGTTTGTTATGTTTGGAAAGGGGTAGAGAGAATGAAATGAAGAAGTGATCGGATGTGTGGAGCGGGTTTACAGAGAGGTTAAAAGTAGTACAGTTCCTTGAGAATATGAGATCAAGGACATTGCCAGCTTTATGAGTTGGTGGGGAAGGAGACAGTGAGAAAGCAAAGGCGGTTAACAGAGATGTTAGTTCGTCTATCTGGAGGTTTCTAATTTCTCTAATTTCCCCTCCTCGACTCCTTGAATCCTCGGTCCTCCGTTAGTGACCCGGAAATGGATTTCAGCGTGCCATGTTGAAGGATATCTAGGTTGCGGTCGGATAATCCAAAAATCAGCTCCTAACGTCTAACCCTATCGTCTATTCCTTGACCTCTGAGTGTAACGTCACGGGGTTAAGGGATAGTGGATAGGAGAATTCAAAAGGACTTAGGAGAAGAGACTGTGGTACTTTAGAGAATCCGAATGCACTTTCACTATCCAACGTGATTATGATGCGCCAGCGGACGTCATAAATGTGCGTCTGCTGCTGTGGGGAAACTATGGAAACTACAGTTTTCTATACAGCGGACTACAACATGGATGTTTAATAAGAACGAGGGACTACTGTAAACTCATCTAGAGACTCTGCACCGTGCTCTGATGCTGTTGTTTTATGCTTTATGAACGTGAACAGAGAAACATATTCTTCATGACCAAAGTTGGAATTTAA